AGTTCAATACTGCCACAACTCCAAAAATTCCAATTTTGAGTTAAGGCTTTAAAAAGGTTGCATATATGATACCCCATCTAATGCAATACAACCTTAACTGAAATATTGTCTTGGATAAGTATAAAGTAAGATATTTCGGTATTACACTGTAGGGTTTTGAAATGCAATATGGCCATAACTAGGAGATGTGGCGATAATACACTCCGCCACAATACAACCGATGTAATTCAATACGGCCACAACTGCAAAAATTGTTAGATTAGTGGTACGATTTTATCAGTTCTCAATTATTTATGCACGAGGTATCCACGTTTTTAGTGTACAACTATTTGATTTAAAGTCTGAAAACAGTGTATAGTGATATTATTATTAACTTTATTATCAAACACGATGTCAAGGGCAAGAAAAATGCTTGGACTAGCTTTGCAAAGCTATCTTAAAGATGATGAGAATCTGAGAGACAATTCAGAGGTTTCTGAGGTTATGAATGACATCTCCTTTGTGTTGACGGAGGTTTGTATTTCAACAAAAATCACAGTGAGGTTTTACTTAATGTATGTAATTTTTTAGCTTACTCCGGTTGCGTTACCCGTGCAATCAAATCATACCGCAAATACATTTGAAGATCAAGAAAATCTACATACAGACCCTCGCCAAGATGATTACATAGAGCAGGTATATTTTTATGAAACGAGAAACGGTTACTGGACCGGTGAAAAATAAAATAAGAGAACACATAAATTCTTTCCAAAGGGTAGAATCACATTATCTTAGAGCACAAACTACAAAGGAATACATAGATGGTTCACTTACTTTAGCTCAAATGTATCGCTACTACAAACTACAGGAAGAGAGTGAAGGAAGGCCTGTGGCTAAAAAATGCACTTACGAGCATATTTTCAAAACTGAGTTTAACATAACTTTCTTTCAGCCAAAAAAAGATCAGTGCGCAATTTGTGAATCATATAAAAATTCTTCTGCTGAACAGCAAGCTACTCTTCATCAAACTTATAATAAACATATCCATAATAAAATTAGAAGCAGAGAAGAAAAAGCACAAGATCTAGCAAGAGCAAAAGATGATTCTCAAGTATTGGTAGCTTGTTTTGATTTGCAGGCGATCCTTCCTACACCTTGTGGAGATGTTTCAAGCTTCTACTATAAATGCCGCCTGAACTGCTTCAACTTTACAATTTTTCAGATATTGCAAAAGACTGGTTACTGTTACTTTTGGCACGAGGCTATTGCTAACCGCGGCTCAAACGAAATAGCTACGTGTCTGTTTGATTATCTTTCAAATCATTGTAATGATAAAGACGTTATATTTTATAGCGACAATTGTGTTGGGCAAAATAAAAATAAATTTATAGTTACCATGTATCTCTATGCAATTGGAAAAATTAATGTTAAATCAATCACACATAAATTTTTAACAGTGGGACATACCCAAAATGAAGGGGACGCCATGCACGCAACTATTGAGAGGCAAAAGAAGAAAATACTTAAAACAGGTCCCATTTATGTTCCTGCACAATGGCCTGTCATCATAAGATCTGCAAAAAAAGAGGGAAATCCTTACAATGTAAAAGAAATGTCAACAGAAGACTTTTATGACTTTAAAGATCTCAATTCAAAAATTGGAGGAAATTTTACAAAGAATACAAAAGATGAAAAGGTAGTCTGGAATGATATCCAAGTTATTAAAGTTGTCAAAAGCAATCCTGGATCTTTCTTCTATAAAACAGATTATAATGCCGATGAGTTCGAAGAGGTCCATTTTAAAGCATCGACAAGGGGGCGTTCAGCAACTGTGGAAGCAGTAATCGATTTAAAAAAGGCGTACATAAAGCCTCCATCGATATCCGCAAAAACCAAGCAACACCTTTTGGAACTGTGCAATAAAAACTTAATATTACCTGTTCATCACAATTTTTATAAGGACTTGGTTAATAGTAATTAAAAAAAATGTTCATACACACTTGTAATAATAATAATAAAAATATTTTTTGTAAGAACTAGTTGATTTTTTTTATTATGTTGCCGCCGTATCTCCTATTTATCGTTTTATAAATGACTTTCTTCACAATGCAATATCGCCATAACTATCAAAATACAATTAACGTTTTATTTTTAATAAATTGTAATAAGATCCAGCGAATAACTGTATAATTTGCTAACTAAATTGTAATTTTGAAGCCAGTCATTCTAAAAATAAATTATTTACAAGGCATAACTCGTTTGCTACAGAACGTTTTGCTCATTTCTCGAAATTATTGTATTTTGGACTTGTGGCACTATTGAACTAGGTGTGCGATATATATATATATATATATATATATATATATATTTATATATTATATATATATATATATATATATATATAAATATATATAATATTTATATATTATATATATATATTTATATATTATATATATATATATTTATATATTATATATATATTAATATATATTATATATATATATATATATATATATATATAGTCCTATAATACTTCTTATAGTACTATAAGAAGAATTCACTTCTGTCGGCACTACCCCAGTGCCAAGCTCTTCTTTATTAATTAGTTTTGTTAGAATAAGTATATATTTGGTTCTGTGTTGCTGATTAAAACTAGTAATTACCTAAATACATAGTAATAAATCGAAAACATGAATAGAAAAAAGTAAACTCTTAACTATCTAAATTTTGCATGTATTTTAGTCTGTCTCGATTTTAGGGCTCGTATAAGAGCGATTACAATTTAAATAAGTTAGTCGAAGATATAAATTTGTATGATTAAGTAAATAAATGTCATAAATTAATGGTGTTTTATTTTATGAAGATTGTAAATAAATTAAAATAAAGATTATGGTCCTAATCCTTCAAAAATATTTAAACACATATTTTGCAATTACCATTCGCTGCCTAAGAATTACAAGGTTGAATGATACAAAATGTAAAAACTGACAAAAATGACTTTGAATATTTTAACCTTTAAATTTGGTATACAAGAAATTATATTTGCTTTTGTTTTAAATATAATAGATGAAAGTCTACTACAAAAGAATATTAAAAAAAAGGAATAAAAAATATTTATTTTTTCCATATTTTTATTGAAAAAATAAAATAACATAGAACTTCGTGACTCTAATAAAAAACGAAAAATGCAAAAACATGAAACATAAGTTTTTGTAACATTATCTTCTGATCACCAATCTCAATTTTACTGTTTATGTTGAGATATATTGAAAAGCATGTGAACATAAAAGTTTCTGTCTACATCCGGCATCCACTTGGACATACATTTCAGAGCTTCTACCTTGTTTTGTGCCAAGGTGACTTTAATATCATTTTTGTTTATTGATATGGGTATTTCGTCATTTTCAGCAGTATGTCTTCTCGCATTCCATTGTCTTAAACTGATGATTATTTGTATTCACGTTCATTAAAAGTAGTTCGGAAACACATGTAGTAATTGTAGACTAAATTAGTTTTGATGAATGGGTTGGAAAATCCAAAAAATCTGGCTCCTTCATTTGAAATATTGTGTAAGGCTTTCTTGTGTTTACTTTCAAAAGGACTCTTAATAACGAAAGTGGAGAAAAGTATTCATATTTTCTCAAACTGCGTTCAATTGCACTGAACTGAACTGAATCAACCTCTTGTATGCAGGAATGTCCAGGTACTGAAAATTTCATTTGAATTTCATTCGAAGTTCGTATTAGTTTTTATGTGCAATAGCAAAACTCATAAATCTACTGCGATTTTGTGGAACGCAACTATCGCTCCACAAAGTCAAATCCTCCAATAACGGATAGTCTTCTACAACCCTTTTCAGGATTTTGTATACAGCATTGGCAATATTATTCCTAGCCCAACCATGGATTGTCTCTGACCAAATCGCGCATAAACAATCCGGTTTAGGGAAAGGTGCGCTGTCATGTTATACACATTTAGCTTACTTTCATAAAAAAATTTTTGACGTCTTCTTTTGGATATGTCAATAGATTTTGTAAGTCAAAACACAGTACTGCGTTACCATTATTTCAATATCCGTCTTTTTCTCTTCTCTCATTAAAATTTTTTCTTGCAAGTGTCTTTCATATTCCTTTTTCTTTTCTTTATTAAGGGTATTTTCTTTCTTCAGGCAATTTATTTCAGCACAGAGATCACATAGATCTTTTGAAGGTTTTTTAAATTAATAATTGAATTTAGTTCAAAATATTTGCGATAAACATTAAGTTTTACTAGAGTAAGTGTTTCTCCTTTATGAAATCCTCGTACATATTTTACATTTTTTGCAGTGATAGCTCACCCTCTACATACTTTCTTTTAGTATCAGCTTTACAATAATGTCTTTCTTTTACATGAAACATATTAATATTCTCTCTAACAAGATTGGCAGTTTATTCTGATGTAACTTTTTTTCTACGCTTTCCCTGAACACTTTGACAAATTGTGTTTCTTTCTGTAGAATTTTTGTAAACGGTGTATATAGTTAACAAAAAAGCACTTATACCTAGTGTTTCTCAGTAAAACTGATTGCAAACCTGTATTTTGATATTAGTTAAAATAAAGAAGAATAAAAGGTTTTGGTTTTTTTTTTTGAGTTTTGGGCATTTTCTCCTTTTCTTCTTCGCTGTGGAATACTTATTTTAGTTGTGCTTAAAATAAACATCCTTTTTTCACTGCAACTAAGCTTGTAATATGCAGAAAATAAATTTCTGGGATATAGGACCAAGTTGTATGTAAATGTTAACATAGCACTATGTTGCGCTCTTTTCATATTTTCATAACATACACCATTGATTTTGATTAATTTTAGAGGACTGCATGCATATATTTTAGATTTTCAAAGTTCTATGGTCCTTATGATACAGAGAACTTTATTATCGTAAAATTGCTGACTTTCTAATTTTGTTACATACACCCTTGTAATACTCAGGCAGCACATTGTTTAGATTAATTTTTATGAATTATCAATAATTAAATTTACTCAC